TTCCGATGGACTAACCGGCTTAGTTAAGTTAACTGAGCTTGATGAAAGTCGCCCTCAGAGATAGAAAAGAAATAAGTTCATGGCGCAATCTTTAGAAAAAATTCAATTTCATATCGATGAAGTAGATATAGGGAATGTTTCGTTAATCTCCGTCATTTTTCCGCCGCGCTATTTTCGCCGAACTTTTCCCTGAAGATTAAACTCGATGAAAAATTAATGTCGCAATAAAGATATTTTGTAGAAATCATGATGGTAAGAGATTTTAAAGAGATTAGAAATATCAAATAAAATCTATTCGTTATTTTTGTTTTGTAAAATAATGTAGATCAAGATCAATTTCTTATTTGATTTGCACGACTACTGTTTAAATCTCGTTTGTCGTCCTTTGTTTTAGTCTTTTTTTGGAACAATTAAATAACAGGTTTTACTTACCGAGAGCACAAAGAGAATCGTAACGTTTCTCGCGACGGACATGTTCGGTTTGATACAGTTTCAATTCGAAATATAACAACGAGAAGCAAAAGGCCAACTACTTTCACTTTTCCAGACATTTAGTAGTCCACCTTCGTATTGACGGATGGAGTAATCCAATCTCCCCTTTCCGCTTTTTTCGCGCGCCTTTTCGACGGGCATAAATAAAATATTCTTATAGACCGTCAACTCTGAGTGAATTTCCATAACTAATATTGGGACTCGAACAAGTCTGAACGAGTCCAAAAATTTATATTTTTTGTCTCGTACAGTCTCGTATTTATCGTGTGAAATCTAAATATTCAGATTAATATACATTTGTCCATTTTTTGTCATATTAGGCCGCGGTCCGATTCACGCTCACGACGCTTAATCATTTCATCCTTGTTGTTTGTCAAATGTTAAACGAAGACAAACGATGCTGATAAGCGTTATCAGTATTGTTGGATTCACCCTGCATCCGATTTGCGTCGTACGACGCTCTGCAACCAATCAGAAAACAGGATTCTGATGATACGAAGCAAAATCAATCCTTAAA